TATCTGTTCCTTTCTGCTTTTTGTTAGAACCATTTGGTGATGAGGGTGGTTCCCTTGCCCCTCGAGAAACAGAGTGGCCCCTAACTTAGTTCATAAGTCAGGCATGAACAGAAAGGAATGTAAAAACTGTTGGCCATTGATCTTACACAAAAGAGGTTCCAGGAAAGTGTGTCCCTGTCTCCTCCCTGACAACCCCATTACGTATTCCTTATGATTGCTAAGGTTTCCAATCCTTTGGGTTAAGATCGAGAAGGTTGCACCAGTGTCTATAAAAAATTTTTATCAAGTGGCCTGCCACATCAATGACCACCTGAGGCTTGATATTAGTTATGTAGTTGGTACCTTTAGGTAGAGCCACTTTCGACCTTGGGCCCCTTTAGTCTTTTGATTGCAAAACCATCAATAGAGGAGGGGCCCCGTCACTCTCTGGCGTCTGGGGCATTCTCTCTTCCAATGCCTTGGCTGTTTGCAAAGCATCAATCACAATCCTCCCTCCAGTGCCTTTTGTCCACACAGGGTAACACTGGCCTTGTATGGGTAACCGTGGGCCTTGGGGTCTGTCAGGGCCAGATTGGCCCAGAAAAGCCAGCTTCCCCTTTGGTGGTCTCTGAGCAGACAAAGCTACTGCCATCATTTGGGCCTTTTGCATATTTCTCTGGGTGTGTTCAGCCTTTTTGGCCACATCCCTATTACTGAAAACCACATAAACCAATTGGAACAAACCATTCATTGGAGTCTGAGGACTAGCAGTTGCTTTCTGAATTTTGCACCTGATGTCTGGGGCAGACTGGGCTATGAAATGCATAACCAAAAGGGCCTGTACCTCAGGGGAGGAGGGATCCACGTTCGTTTGGGATCCATGGCCCTGTAGGGTAGGTCAGTTAAAAAGTCCTCTGTGTCCTTCCTAGAGTTACCCCTCTGAGCTACACACTGTAAGGAACGGCACCAAGAAACGGAGGGGAGCTGAAACGAGCTGTATTAGGGAGCGCTTCCGGGGGAGGTTCACCGGCCCGAGAGAACGGGGCCAGAGAAGTCGCGCCCGGGCGAGGGTTTGGGCAGAATTTATAGGGGAGGAAGGGAAAGGGGTGTGGTGAATCCGGAAGGGCGCAGGGTATTCCTTATTTGGTGGTCTCTTCGGGTATCATGGCACTATCCGGTGCCGGTTGCATCAGTCTTGGGACCGTTAGTCCCGCCCCTCGAAAGGCGGGAAGGCTGGGCCGGGTGGAAAGTCCCCAGGTCAGTTCCTGGAACTAGGTGGTCCAGAAGGTCTCCAGGTCAGTTTCTGGAACTGGGTGGTCCGGAAAGTTTCGGTCTGATGCAACCTGTGAGTCTGATTGCGTTCTCCTGCCTCGGGCCAGTTGGCCTTACACACACGCCTAAGATTTCTTTTGGGTTTCATTGCCTAGATACAAGGCCATGAAAATCTGAACACATAGGGTACTTCGTTTTAAATTTCCTAACTCATATTGTGGCCAAAGCTGATTACATAACCTACTAAGTTTTTCCTTTTAATTACTGTTGTCCAAATCTTTCCCAGTCCCGGAGTATATGGTCCAGGGGGTATTGGTTGAGATTGATTCCGCCTGGCCCATTTCAGACAAGCCTGAGCCTAACTCCTAAGCTATCCAAATTCCACTCTTAAGTCAAAATCCACTGCATAATTTGATCAAGACTTGCACTTACGATTTTAGATGCTATCCTTTCCAAGGTAGTCTCCCAACCAGGTTAGGGCCCCAAAAGTTGCAAAGAAATGGCACAGAAGATGTCCCCAGTGGTGTTGACGATGAACGGGAGTTGGTCTAGCTGTAAGTTGGGAATGAAGGGTCAGCACTTCTAAGGGTCAGAGGGAGGGGAGTAAAAGTAATAAAAAGTACATCTTGGTGGTCTCACAGGTCTTCTGGGGCTAATAGAAGAAAGAAATAGAGCAGAAATGAACAAGAATGCAAGAATGTAGGAGAAAAACCTCAGAGTCAAGAAGAGTATAGGAATTGACAGTTCTGTCGTGGATCTGCTGTTGGATGTGCATAAGTATATGGGGTTGACCTGCCGGTCAAAGACGATCAGACAATCGACAGAGCATCCTCCCCAGTGTGCCTGGCTTGTGGCATCCCATGGGCCTCTTTAGAACCAAGACCAAACTCTCAACATTTTCTTACCTAATCACTATCCCTTTGTGGTCGCCAGCTGAAACCGTGCACCTCAGATTGGCACTTCAACCCATGTGCCGGGACTCAAACCCAGCCAAAACTCAGACTGGGACTAGACCCACGTGGCTGGGACTGGAACCCAGCCAAAACCCAGTCTTCCAACTGAGATCACACGCCTGGTTTCAGGACTTAATGAAGCTCAGGTTCTTGATGTCTCATCACAGAAAGAATTCAGTGAAAGACAAAGTGACAGGTAAGAAGTGGATTTATTTAGAGAGAAACACATTCCACAGAGTGTGGGCCATCTGAGAAGGTGAGAAAAGCACCAGGGTATGGGGTTGTCAGTTTTTATAGGGGTGGGTCATTTCATAGGCTAATGAGTGGGAGGAGTATTCCAGCTATTTCAGGAAGGGGCGGGGATTTCCAGGAATTGGGCCATCGCCCACTCTTTGATCATTATGGTTGGGCTTGGAACTGTCATGGAGCCTGTGGGCCTGTCATTTAGCTTGCTGATGTGTTACAGTGAGCGTATACTTAGGCTCAAGGTCTAGTGGAAGTCGACTTGTCTGCCATCTTGGACACATTTGGGTCTAATCAGTTTATGTCATGACCTCGGGCTGTGTCATTCTTTCAAAGGTTGTGCCCTGCCTCCTCTCCTCCTGTTTCACCTTGGTGCCTTGATTGTAGGCTCAGCTCGGCCTCATTAGCCATCTATGGTTGCCTTGGTCTCACCGCCTCTGAGACTCAGGCTCTCATCTGTACAGTGGGCACAGCACCCCCTCTTTTACAGGTTGTTTGAAGGCCAGATAAGACCATCTATGTGAAGTGTCCTGCCCTGAGGGTGATTTTGGCTGTGATGTGGGAATTTGGAGGGAAGAACATTAGGGGGCAGAAGCTCAGGAGAGTGTCCTCTGCCCATCGCAGCAAGGTCGTGAGGGAAGGCAAAGGATGGTCCTATTCTTGAACCAAGCTTTTCCTAACCTGGGCCATACAGTAAGGGAACTTTCTTCTGCTTTTATCTTTTACTTAACTGTCATGACAAGAGCATTGAGATTTCTATAGCTTAAAGTCTCACCTTTAGCATTCCCATCTCTTTCCACTGGCAACAAAATCCTTAAAGCTGAAGCTTCACAGAATGGACAAGGTGGGTGGGACAGGGCTGGGCCCTGCCCTGAAGTCAGATAGAAAGGAGGCACAAAGTTTAGACCGAAGCCAAAATGCCCAAGAAAGGAAGAAAATGTACCCTGAGGGTAGAGTTAGTTTAGAAAGCAGCTCTCCTAAATTTACAGTAAATTGCAGATCATCCCATAGTCTGGGGTTTAATTATTGCTTAAATAATCCTCTTCTAGTTGAGAATTTCCAGGTTGGAGACGGGTTGTCTTGGTGGCTTTTAGTGCATGGGTTGCCTTAAGGTAGGGAAGACCCATTCCCTCTTGCCCACCCTCTGACCTCCTCTCACTTAACTCCAGACACAGAGGCTCTCTTTGGGGTGTTTTGAGAAGGACAACTCTTTTTTTTTTTTTCCTTCAGTGCACTGGTATCTCACCTCCACATCTCATGTCACCTTCTCAGAGGGAGGCTCTCCCTGACACCCCAGCTAAATAAATGTAGCTTCCCTTGTGCCTGTCCCAGAAACCTGTACTCATCTTCTTGGAAATCTTCTCATCTACTTAGCACTCATTACTTTCTAATGATCTATTTATTTGTTTATTATTTGTTGAGCCACAAGAGATTATAAGCTTCAGAAGAAAGCGCTTGTTTGTTCCCAGCTGGATCTCCCACCCTCCTTCTGTAGGACTCTGCACAGAGAAAGCACTGATTAATGTGGCATCAACGCACAGATGGATGGAGCTTCCCTTATTTCCAGGTCACCTGGGCTGGACCATACCGCAGAAGGCAGATCTGAGGATTTTCACCAATTTTGGCTTCCAGAAACCACTCAGGCAAAGGTTCTTAACCTTTTTAGGGTCACAGATCTCTTTAGGTATTTGATAAAAACGACTCTCCCAAACGAACATAAAAATGCACTCATAACTCTGCTTACAACTTGGGGGTTTGGAGACTCCTAACGGCCCAGGTGGAAACTCCAGACTTAAGAAAAACCAAGGGGCGAAGGAGAGAGATTAGAGGCTCCACGCCAGTCTTAGGAGAGACGTCTTAAAACCGGGCCAGTTTAAAATGACCTATGCCCTTGGATTGCAGATATATATATATATAATGCATGAATATGTGTGTATATGTATATATATATGAAAAGAAAGAAATCCGAGGCAAGAAGTCGCTTCTTGCCAGCAGACTTCCAGATCTGCCAAACGCTTCCCGCCTTACACGGTTTAGGACAAGACAACCAGTGACACTTCCCGCAAGTGTCTCGGGAGATCTCTTAGCCAGGTCTGATCAACGTTTGTGGGATGAATGAATGACACCCTCACTCGCAGAGTTAGGAAAGCAGCCCCCTAGGCGCTCCCGGCGCGGGGCTGCTCAGCGCGGAGCTCGCGGGCTCTGGTTCCCGGCGCCTGGGCCTAAGAGGCTGGAGGCGGAGGTGCGCGCCCAGGTGTATTCGCACCTAGGGCCGCCCATGCAGCGCGGGGCGGGGCCAGCTGCGGCGGGGCGGGGCGGGG